TTCGACTTAGCGTCCGGTTTCCTCCAAATCAAAATGAGCCCTGAGATTTTTGCCAAAAAAGCATGTTCGGTTCCCCAAGATTATTATGAAATCAATCGTTTATGCCATTACGTGCCATCAGATAAACGACGCCCCATCTAAATTTCAGAGACTGATAAATTCAGCACTCTTTGGACTCCAAGACCTCCAATGCTTTATTAACCTAGACGATATAGACGTACGACCTTGAAAGGCACCAGCACAATCTAGCAAACGTATTTAAAAGCTTAATAACTTAAGAGGCTTAAGCATTTACAACTTCAAAAACCCGAACCATCCAAACCATCCGATAGCTTCCGATCTACCTTTAACGCTGGATAATGGTTCCTGAACTTCTAATCGTCCCGATCTTCCTATTAATCCTATTGATAATAGCATAATTAGACTTGAGACTTATTCTGAGTTCCTTTAACTTACTTGCGATAAAAACTATATTTCAAACATTAAAATCGTAGAAAACAACGAAAACTTGTCAGAATCACACATCAACACATTGTTATATCGACATCGATAGACAAAGACAAATCTATTCCATACACAGAAAGCCCTATATTCTATTTTGCAGACTTCATATTATTTATACAAAAATAAACCATTCTGATCGATCTACATACATAGACATTTGACAATCTAAAGACACTACGGAATGAGCTAATTACATCCGTAGTCGAAACTACAAATAAGTTTGCAGCCTCTCTGTACCTTTTAGTAGTTACCGGAACCCGTATAACTCAGAATATGAATAAGCCCACAGTCTTAACTGTGCTGTAATTATATAAGAAAGAAAGAAGAAAGAAAATCTTTATTCGCCAGAAATATAGTTTATAAGATATAGGACATAGCTTCATATATTTCGCCTGTTTAGGCATGCGAAAATTTAATTTATTTTTATATTAATTATAACACAAAATTTACTAAATCTATCTATTTTTACATTCTATCACTTCTTATTCTAATATTTTATTATGTACAACACTTATCATTTAAAAATTCTTGCACACTATAATAAGCCTTGTCTATTAGCCATAAATATAATTTTCTTTTAAATTGAGTTAGTGGAAGATCTCTTATGCTGTTTGGTATCTTATTAAATATTCTGATAGTCATAGGATAACAGTTTGTATGGTAGTAACGAGTATTTATACTTGGTAACATTAGTTTAGTAGGGTATCTTGTATTAAATTGACAGTACTCGCCACACGATTTATATAATTGTGGGTGCTTTTTAACAAACAAACAACATTCTTGTATATATATGGATGGTACAGTTAAAATATTATGTTTTTGGAAGAATGGTTTACAAGAAGTCAGAGGATGAATATTGCACATGGCACGAACACATTGCTTTTGTGCAATGAACACTCTATTTATGTGACTAGAATTTCCCCAGAGGGGTATACAGTATCTGATATTTGAGGCGACATATCCATGATAGGCCTGTAATGCAGTTTTTAAATTACATATTTTTGTAAGTCGCCAAAGTGCATATGAGAATCGATTAATTTTACTACAAGTAATATCTATGTGAAGATTCCAGCTACATTGATTATCCACATTTAATCCTAAAAATGTTATGCTATTACATTCATTTAGTGTGTTATTATTATAAGTTATATTTAAGTTATTAATAAATTTGTGTCTATTATAGAATTGTATATATCTCGTTTTGTCTAAATTAGCTTTTAAGTTAAGCGTTTAAGTTTAAGCTTTAAGCACTCACGGCAACATCTTTGCCTATAGTGTTGTGCTTTCTAAGTGGAAACCATGGGTGAATATTTTTAAATAAATACCCGAGTATTTGTTTTTATTGGTATACCTCAATATTTGAGCCCTAAAACAGTCGCGTCACTCAATTACCCATCTGATCTGGCTACGAATGAACAACTCTAACAAGAAGAATAACAACATAGAATCATAAATCAATAAACTTATCTGACTAGTACCTAATCTGTTTGGATTCACGACTGGGACGAAGATAACGTAAATAGAACGAGACCTCGACAATTGACAAGTCAATAAAACGAATTCTTTGATTACTTAGAATTAGAAGTATACTGACACGATTTCGATGTTTTCAATTCTTTTTATGAACATTCTAGTAGTTCTAAGAGATCATTCTGAGATCGTGCTCGTCTCCCGGATGTAACTTAATTCAAAGTAAGCCTGACATCTTTAGCTCTTCGGTCCTCTTCCCTCGTTCTAACTTTACAATGAGCGTAAGTGAAACAGACTATGGCAGATTAAATGTGTCTAAAAACATTGTTTTGTTTTCAAAGGATAAATGATACCTAAAAAATCATGTCTGTTCCAACTGACATTAAGTAAATATTATTATGTTCAAAATGATGATGTAAAAATGTATGAGGAAAAATGATTTTAAATTGTCTATTGGTATTCAAGCCTATTCAAAATATAACACAAGTATCTAAGAAAGCACAAAGTTTTTAATTAAGCATAAACTAATTGTCCAAACTGACTGAGTGAATGAATGAATGGCCAGATCAAGTTTTAAACAACTCAGTTTAATAATAACATAACGATATCTGACTCAATACCTAAAGTAAAACTAATGAAAATAGAAAGAGATAACTAGAGTACTCGAATATAAACCAGCTATTTTTTATTTGTTTTCCCTCCGTGTTCCCGTCTGTTTGTTCGCACATATCTCCGGAACTACTGAACAGGTTTTCATAGATCACAATTTTTGGATTTTATTCATGATAGCTGATCCGGCAGACTTCGTAGTGCCTCAATCGATAAATAAAAGACCTAAACTTTTGTCTATAATAAACTTAAAACAAACAAAAGGAATCCGTCCAACTGGGGACACATCATAGGAAAAACAAAATTTTTATTTTTATTTAATTCCGAGCATTTTCATATTTATCTACCTTTTAAACCTTCTCTGGACTCCACAAATATTTCAAGACCAAAATTAGCCAAATCGGTCCAGCCGTTCTCGAATTTTAGCAAGACTAACGAACAGCAATTCATTTATATATATATATAAATTATCGAGTGTTTGAAAACATTTACCGTCACTTAAAGTGGGGCCCGGAGGCCCTTCTAGTGTTACCGAGACAGATGGGCGAGCGAAGGCTCAGCCAGGAAGGATGGGATTTGCTAACAGCTGCTCGAGCGCCTCCGCAGAATACCTATTAGCTTATGGGCAACTGCTTTCTGAATGCATCTACTACCAGGTCGGAATCGCGGTCCGCTGAGAAGTTCAGACGAAAAAGAAACCCAGCGATCTTTTGCTAAGCTAGCCTGTTCGAAAAGTTCAACGTACGGTATCCGGGGTCCCTACGTTTGCTTCTAATGCTAGAGCCGCAGGCGTCTTATAACAGTGTTAGTAGATCAGGTAGATCCGTAAGGACTAGGGAAGGTGCCGACCGTCCAGGGCCCAAAATATATATTATTATATTTTTTTACTGCTTAGATGGGTGGACGAGCTCACAGCCTACCTGGTGTTAAGTGGTTACTGGAGCCCTATTTTTTTTTTGTTACCTGTGCTGATAGCCTTGAAAGGCTTTTTCAGCTTCGCCCTAACGTTTGTAGGTGAGCTCACGGGGCTCAACCGGAGAGTTGCTAACACTGACCCTAGCAAGAGCAGTGCTTCGCAGAATCTACCACCGGATCGGAAACGCGACCTACTGAGAAGATCCGGCGAAAAACTCAGTGGGCTGTGTCTATGGGTTAGTTCGCTCGTCGAGCCCTTCGTCGCAAGCGACGGGTTCGACGAGGACGGTGACCGGCTGGAGCCCATAGACCGTGCGGACTCACAAGCGGTCCTACCACTAGTAAAAATATACCAGTATATATTATTATACATAAATATATTTTACAATTGGTTATCGAACATATTAAGATGTTTGATACTTAATACTCCTATATGTTGGTCACCTACATACATACAGAAAGGCTCTAATATAACTCTCACAAGATATTTTATGTTCGATTTATATATAGTTTTATAGATTTTTCTCCGTTTCTTCATAAATATATTAAAACTAATAATAATTCGTGTCATCTATTTTTTTTTAAGTTTTAGAGTTTTCTACACTGTTCAGATACATCGGCTTGTGTTATTGTCTGTAATGGGAACTTGTTGACTTTATCTTAAAACTAGTGTTTAATACATTTATCTGGAAACACTGGACTGTTTGTTTCCCAATTAAAGTAAAGTTAAATTAATTAAGTTAATCTCAGTTTAATCTATGAACATATCAATTTAATAATAGAAACAATTACAATTTTATACACTGTATATAATATATATCGCTTTCGCAACTGCAAAAATTCAACGTAAAAACAAAGTGTGTGTTGTGATTGTTGGAGTTTGTATTTAATCGCATACATGTATGATAGATGGCGCTGATATAGTAAAATTTCAACCACTTAAAATGTTATATTAAAAAAAAAACTTTTACGATTTAATCTCGCGTTTTAATTGCGTGATCACCGATGACGTAAATTGTAAAATATTTGAAATATCAGAAATAAAAAACAGGAGAAGGAAAACAGTTTTAATTATGTCTACGACTAACGCAAACCGAAGAGAATATACTACACTTAGGTACATTGAGATAAAACACGGAATTATTTACAGTAAATATCACTAAATAAATCTAATAGATATGTGCATATCATTACGAAGTGGTAGAGTGTATCGTGAGCCCCGCGAACAGGTACCAACCTACCTTTGAACATCTTTAAATTTTTTATTGCTTCGGCTGATCTATCTTCGAAACACGTGGAGGCTTCGCGACTGGTTGGGGGTTCCTGCCCGTGTGGCCACACAACATGCCTCACTACCTACATAGTGCATACCAATACATCAGCTTATTTCAGTGATGTAAGCCTTCTGGCCTCTGACGCGTATTCGAAATCCGATAACCAATTTTTCATACACTTTAGAGCATTAATCAATTAATATATGTCAAATTGAATTGCCGACTAACCTTGTGTTTTTTTTGTTTGATTGTAAACCAGTATATTCTACCGGAGAACATGGTGACAAATGGCAAATGGTCGTTAGCGGAATTGGAAAAACGTGCCCGATACAGGTTCTATGAAGGACAAACATACACACAGATAATTATTAATAATTGGTTGTTCTGTAGCAATTACTTCTATAGTAGCGTGAGTGTGTTCACGAATACTCACGTAGATCTAATAACACCTCTGTTAGTTAAATTACGTTTTAAAGACCTGTGTATATAATGTAATTGTATATCGGCTTCACCCGCGTTAAATATGTAGTTCAGTACTTTGAACCTGAAATGCTTACTAAAATGTTGCCCGACAATAAAAAATCTCGTCCGTAATTATTATTATTATTATTTTATTGCCCTTGTAGGCAGACGAGCACACGGCCCACCTGATGGTGAGTGGTTACCGTCGCCCATGGACTTCAGCAATGCCAGGGGCAGAGCCAAGCCGCTGCCTACCGCTAATACTCTCCATTATTTGGAGAGTGGGATATGATATGGGAATTAATAATTTGTATGGCCTCTTGTTGCGACTCCGCTTAACAAGTTGTATTAAAATTACGCGACATGCTTCTGCGTGCTCTGTATAACTACATGCACAATTTAGATTTCGGAGAGCACTTCTTCAGATTCTCTAATTCACTGCGTTAATTTCCTTTTTAGTACAAATGCGACATGGACAGCCATTTTCATAAAATGTTTTATTGCAAAGCCGAGTGAACGAGCCCACGGTCCACCAGTGTTAAAAGGTCATCAGAACCCATAGATATCACAACGGGAATGTCGTCCACATGAGGTCTAAGTTAATTTTATAGTATAGAACAGCTGTCCCACTCCGAATCGCAGGAGGAATAGACAGAGTGGTGAGAACTATCAGGTGAGCCCTCACGAGATATCCGACCGAAAACAGGCAATAAGTATATCTTTTGCGGGTTTCATTTTGATTGCACTATACTACTTCTCCATCTTGGAAAGCATCCTAAACTTGTATTAATTGCGTATATCATTGAAAAAAAATAGGACTTGCCCGGGGGATTTGAGCACTGGCATAGACGCATCGCACAATACGTTTGCACCGCGAATCCTTTAGGCCACAATGACTTTTTCTAAAACAAACAAAGAATTTTTCATACTTGTTATTAGATTAGTATAATACATTCAACTCATACAAGCTGACAAAGAGCTTAGAAGAAATCGAAGAACGAAGTTATGTGAATTACTTTAGTTTGTTAATTAAGTGTTTCTTTAATTTAAATCAATAATAACAGTGGCTTATTAGCTGTTTAGCATCTGTGAAAGTGCACAAATGAAAGGAAATGAAACAAAGTCGCTGGGTATAACTTCTCGGGCTCTTCCAAAAACCCAAAGGATAAGTCTCAGTAAATAACTTCCATTTTATTGAGATTTTATTTCATCCCATCTATTCTCGTGTCCTTCAATATCATCCCAATAGTATACAATAACAAATAAATCGAAATAATTTCATTCCGCTTCCCCAACAGTTTTCTTTCACCATTTTCAGACAACATTCTTATAACGGACTTACAAATCTCTGATTCCTCATTATAAATACGATAATTAAACAATACTAGTACATTACATAAGCGAAACTGAAATTAACCAGAGAGGGGACGAAATTAGTAGTTTTAAATTTTTAGTAATTTGCCTACGGGACCTTAAAATGTCTTTATTTCGGTCAATTTATAATTATAAAACAAATATCTGCAAATTACAATTTTACCACGTTTACAAACCACATATTATTATGTTTTTTATAAACAGTTAAATTGTACGTTTATGTCCATATCACAGTGGCAACTCATTGCGCACCGTCCTCGTGCACCTAATAATAGTTATGCTGGTATTGACTTTGATTTTCTCATGAAAGATGGAAGCCACAAGGTTTCCCAGTCGAGGTCTTTAGTAATTTGTAGACTATTTTATCTATGTTAAAGATAAATCAAGTACTGAATGTTTCAGTACAAAGTAAATAACAAATGATTTTAAAATTTTACAGTTGACCTTCGCACAAGATAAGTTCTACCTTCATCTTTGTGTTTTGTTCAATTACTCAGCTAATCGACTTTGCTATCAATAAAGGGTTATGACTTTCCTTTTGAAAAAAAAATTTTCTTCTTCACCTTGGAAGTCAATCGTGAACATTTGTTGAGTACGTATTTCATTAGAAAAATTGGTACCCCCGCCTGGGATACGAACACCGGTGCATCGCTCAACACGAATGCACCGGACGTCTTATACTTTAGGCCACGACGACTTCAAAAGTATTTAAGAAGCTCGTTCGCTATGTGCATGCAAGCACTGAAGGCTGGCAGAATTATTTACAAATCTATATATATTGACAACAGCGTGAGATGGCTGCATTGAAGCCGCTTCCTCGCCCGACAGCTTGCTTTAATAATTCTTGATCGAAATCTCACAGAGTCTCTCTTAAGTTTACAAAAAAAAGGTGGAATAGAATCAAACATTTGACATTTTTGGGTTGCCTCCCTCATTATACTAAAAATTAGAAGGAATAGTCTCAAAGGTCATATTAATCCAAATAAGATTCTATAAGTACTTTTGTTTTCGAAACGCATTAATTAAATATAATGTTGTATTGGGCTCTGAACCCTTTAATACGACAATAATATTTGGGACGTAAGGGGACCGTCATCCGACCGAATCACATTCCTTTTTTTTCCCCACCCTAATGGTTTATAGTCTCGAAGGACTATTCCAGCTACGCACTCTGTGGTAGGCGAGCTCAAGAGGCTCAACTTGGAAGAACTTGCTAACACTAGCCCTAGCAAGAGCAGAGCATCGCTAAATCTACCACCAGATCGGAATCGTGACCCACAGAAAAGATCCGGTGAGAAACTCAGTAGGCTCGACGCAGTTCGCTTCCTTTGAGTTCAACAAGAAAGATGACCGTGCTAGGAGTACCTTAAGGCATCGAGAGTGGATCGAGAACATCCGACCTTACATGTTTAGGGCGACGACGGCATTGCGTTGTTGTCCAGTCGCTTGGGTCGCAAATGTAGTTCGAGGCCACTATAAGGGGGTTATGGTGCCGCGCCGCTTTCTCGAAGAACCGTTCCGATGCTCTCTTCAAATACTTACGTAACGGATCTAATTCTAAATCGTCGCAAAAATCTAAATTCCTTACGCACCACGACTACCCACGACCATACACGACTATCCTGCAAAAACGAACTTGTTACGAAGGGATAATTGACTTCACTTACATTTCTTTGGATAAAGACTAAGAATAAAGACCGGGTAAGAATGCGCCTCGATCGCGGACTGTCTTTATGTTGGGACGGAATGTCGTCCCTCTGTTGAGGGTGACCATTAAGTAATTGACCTTCAAGGCCCAAGGTATGGGCTGGCTAAAGAGAGTTATGGAGGTAATGGTATTACCGCTTCTAGTATAAGGAAGTGGATTCGAAAAGGCGGAAGCACTCTCCAGCCGAGTTCGCTTCCGATAGGTAGCGGCTTTACGCGAACTTACTAAGATAGGACATATACATGCTGTTGCAAATATATTAAAAGTATATCATAAAGTACAGGGCTATTTTTTAGTTTAACAGCTAAACTAAGCTGCTGAGCAAGTTTTTAATTTTAATATTTAGACTATTAGGATGGCAATGAAAAAGAAAACTTGCTAAATTATTGAACAAACATGTGCGCGATTAACACGCGGTAGGTACTTCTTAAGGCTCCTTGCCTTAAGAAGTATTTTATCTCATTTTCTCGCAAGCTGAATTATTTATTTTATTAGAACGAAGTTCCTTACGGCAGGCTTGGAGGGGATAGGGATTTTGCTGCGCGACCGAACTGAAAAAAATGTGATAGTAAAACCGTAAGAAAAAATCCGTGGAAAAAAGTGCGTGGAATAAAACCGTTAAATGAGACGTGCGCAGGCGCGACAGTCGTATACACAAGCGAGTAGTGTATAATACCTTTCTCTTTCTCCTTCTTTTTATTATTATTCATATAAATAGCTGTTTCTTGGTATATTAATATTATATAATTTTTATAAATCATTGTAAATAAAATAAAGTTGATAACTTTGTAAAGTATTTTTTTTTATCAATAAAACAATCATAATAACGAATAGAACTTAAAATTAATAATATTTATATAATAAGGAACTTCGTTCCTATCCGGTGTCCCACGACACCACACATCTTTTTTTTCTTATTAGTGTCGCTGTCTAAAAATAAATCAATCATGTATTAGGGCCGTAAGTAATAACGGTAACAAAAGATTTAATTTTCAAATCTGAACAAAATAGAAACAAAAATATAAGAATTATCAGAAAATTAAGTGAACAGAATTAAATGATGTAATGAAACCTGGTAAGACATATTTGCGGGACCAGGTGAACAAGAAAATGAAATAAATACCTGCCACGGGTAGAGACTAGTAAAGATGGACGTTAGAGTAAATTATGATAGTCTGATATTTTACACCAGGACTTTCAATACGTATTTAAGCTACGGGCCTATGCCCCAAGCGGTTTTAATAACAGAGTTCTTTATTGAATACTCTATTTTTTTAACTACATGATTAGATATTATTATGTTATTTAGCTCGATCAGCCTCCCAAAACATGGTGAACTGATGACCTGTTGAGGATTGCGGAGATGTCCAGCGCAGGACCGGACATTGTGGAGAGGCTTGGAGGAAGAGTATGTCCAACAGTGGATGGTTGTTGGCTGAAAGATAAAATTCACTATGATATCCTGTTGCCAACATCATCTGGTAATATCTATCAACTGAAGCCCATAGATTAAACCGTGCATCCTGCTTGACACATGAGGTCGACGCTTCATATCTATGGCATAATTCAAACTCCTTCCTCTCCTCCTCCTCCACTCTTCAAACCGGAACCCAGGAACGACTCAACGGTCGGTTTATTTACCGTTAAAGATTGAGTTTAACGTTCTACATTACTAAATATATATGTAAATAGCCACATGATAATTAAAGACGAATACAAAATATATATCTAAATAAACCTATCTACTATAAATATAACTGCGTATCGCTTTTATGGAATGTAGTAACCATGATTTTATAAAGGTTAAATTACTAAATTCTAAGTAATAAACAAATATGTACCTACATATGTATATAGTAATGAGCCAAACCATTAGTAGAGGATTTTACATATGTGTTATGAAAATCTTAATATTTCTTTGGTACACATTAATGCGGCCTTAACTAAGTATAGAATGCTTCTTGATCGCGCGAGTCTCATGTAAACATAATATTAACTTCGATAATTCTATTTCGGTGCCTAAAAGTGTTAGTGTTTAAAAACTAAGCATCTTTTTCTAAAAATTTTAATTCGTCATGAAGCAACTTCAAATAATTATATATAGAATGGACCAATGTCTCTGTTAATATTCTCGTTATGTACACCCCATTCGTGACGTATCTTTTTTTTTCTGTAGTATTTTTCCTCTAATCTTTTGGCCGACCAGTTCAGTGTACTGGTTCGTGTGTGAAAGACATTTTACCTACGACATCCAGTTTTCGGATCTAACTCACTCACCATCAGACCATATGACGGCTTGGGTTTTTTTTTAAATTAAATTAGAAATTTATTTTGTAGTTAATAATGAAACTATTGAATTACGGCGGAGTTGTTGCTATATTTTTAAGTTTATTCGGTAAGTTTTTGATTTTTTTAGTGAGAAAAACATATATATCGATGTGTGAAAGGCTGTTTGGTTTAAGCGACATTTTTGCAACTTTACAGGAGAGCCATTTAAAGTTTAAATTTTGGAAAAAATATAATAACAAAAAATCTTCTTCAGTTAGTTGAATGTGGCAAACATAATTGAAGTTCAAATAAAAACATCGAATTTTTATGCTAATTCCAAATAAAACAGACCCGTAATTACAAAGATAAATGTCGCGTATTAAGCGAAATGTCGCTTAAACAAAATAGCCTTTCACCTCTCGATATATACCTACAATTTTAGTGTCATCTTAACAGAAAAGTTGGTTGTAAAATGTTTAGAAACTAAGGAACAACTTTTTAGTAAATAGGTCGTTGCACATTTAACGGTTGCCATTTTCTATTGTATAAGGTTCACAATAATTATAAAATAGAGTTAACACAAAACTATAAAAAACGGTTCAAATATCCAGCTTTAGTATTAGTTTTTATGGATGGTGCGGACAGTGAGCGTTACCTTGATCTTAATGTTAGTAAAACAATTGATTTTAATCTTTAACGAATAAAATAAATGTCATTTAATGAATATTTGAATAATAGCACTGTCATTTTGTTCAGTCACAATATATTCATAATTATTCGAGACGAATGCTTGACGCTGAACTTCTAAATGGTTGGAGCGATTTTTATCATTTTTAGTGTTAGAATGAATCGCTAAGTAATACAGCCTTGCAATTGGACTCGTTAGATTTTTAGGTTTACTTATAGTAGTTCATAGTGGGCCTATGTCCAACAGTATAGTTTGTCTACAATGGGAATTGCAGATTGATAAAATATGTATTTCTACTCGAAGTTTCACGTCATGCTCGTGGAAGCAAAATTCAATTTGAAAAGCCAACAAACACAAGTCACGTGCACGTCTTCATTCTGTTATGTTTTTTCTCTCAATTCGAAGCAATTACGGATAATTACTTTAATTCCGCAGTTGTTGTGTATTGTATTAGATAAATAAGTTTTTATTATTCGCATTTTCTTTACTTCATCATTTTCTTCACAATGTAAATGCATTTAATGATAATATTAATGACAAACGTTACGCCTGCTGGTATCCTGTTTTCTACCACCCTTATAAAACCATAACACATATTAACTGAATTGAAAACATTGATAGTTTCAGATCATACAGAATGTATGTAATGAATGTACATGTTAATTATACTTGTATTACTAGTGGTAATGGTCTTGTGAGCCCACACAGCCCAGTACCTACCCGGTACTGGTCGAAGGGTGGGAGATTCGTAGCGCCATATAATCGAGTCTTAAGCCATGTCTCCCGGGGGGCGGCAGCATTCTGCATCGGTGTCCATGGACAGCGGCAACCGCCTAACACTAGGTGTGCCGCGAACTCGTTCACAAATTTAACAATAAAAGAACAATAAAAACTCTGTTCACAAAAAAGACAACGGCTCCTAACAATTTTTAGGTTTTGCCAAATCATTTGTGACGTTTGAAGTTCAAGCTTATACATAAAACTGGTATTGAAACTTGTAGTCGAGCTGACTATAAAAATCACATATTTCTCGATATGTGTGAGATTCCCAATCGTATTTTTATTGCTAAAATAGTCGTAGTTCGATAATTAACGAATCACAAGATCGATCGATGGTGACCAGTGTGAATAATAGCACACGTCATTACGGATCCTCCCGATCCATTAACGATGCTTTTAGGTACCTCAAGCACCGGTCACCGTCCTCGTCGAACCCGTCGCTTGCGATGAAGGGCTCGACGAGCGAATTAACCTATAGACACAGCTCACTGAGTTTCTCGCCGGATCTTCTCAGTGGGTTGCGTTTCCGATCAGGTGGTAGATTCTGCGAAGCACTGCTCTTGCTAGGGCCAGTGTTAGCAACACTCTGGTTTGAGCCCCGTGAGCTCACCTACATGTTAAGGCGAAGCTGAAATAGCCTCTCGAAGCTATCAGCATAGGTAGGAATTAAAAAAATAATAATTGAATCTATCTATCTATCTATCAGCCCATGGACGTCCACTGCTGGACATAGGCCTCCCCCAAGCCTCGCCACAAAGACCGGTCCTGCGCTGCCTGCATCCAGCGGATCCCCGCGAACCTTAATAGGTCGTCGGCCCACCTTGTGATTGTATGTAATGAATAGCACGTTGTATTTCCACCGCGGCTCGTACTAATTGTACAGTTGGTTCATGAATTACTTTTATCATTAACACAATTCCGTTATCTAACTAAGCAAGCGACTACAAGTTTAGTGCGTAATTTAGAGTATATTTTTGGTGTTTCTGATTAAGTTCAAAGGTTTTTTCCGTTATCGTATTTTTTTTTTCGTAATTCGTCGACGTCGATAGACTAATAATTAATATAAATGATATAAACAATTTGTAATCACTTATTTGTCACTTAAACTGTTGCATCATATGGAACACGCCTCACGTTCAATCTACAACACATGCAATTAGAATCGAGTGCACCCTCTTGAAGTAAAAATTTAATTTCGTAAATTTATTTGTTTGTACGAGTTCTAATCCTTCAAAGTGCTAAAATAATATAACTATATCGTGTCTTACAATAGGCCAGTGTCTCCCCCAAGCGTAAATATTGGATGGTATGTGTGGCCGTCACACAGTCGCTCACTCCTTTTTCACGCCTTATTCAAAATCATCCCAAGTACTCTGAATTTTCCTACGTGATCAAACCATGAGGAGATTCATTGGAGACCGCTATGACATGCTCTTCTTCAAACGGGGCTTGTGTAGAGTATTAAACGGTAGGCAGCGGCTTGGCTCTGCCCCTGGCATTGCTGACGTCCATGAGCGACGGTAACCACTCACCATCAGGTGGGCCGTATGATCGTCTGCCTATACGGCAATAAAAAAAAATTATAAAAAAATAAAAAAGAACCATGGTAAATTTTGCGACTTTGCCGGAAATACTGCGAGGTTGAAACAGCAGTGGCCACGCAACATTGTTCGTAGGACACAGGGCTGCTGGGACCACACAAATCTCAATTGGCGATCGCATTCTTTTATATGGCTCCCAGGGATCCTTTTAGTTCCTTGTACACTAACACAAAAAGCACATAATTTTATTTTTTTATTTTTACTCACTTTTGTAGTTATTTAGTCATGAAATATTTAGTTAGTTCGATGAACGACAATAAACAGTTGTATTTCATAAGCTATAATCATAGTCAATCGTAATCCAGAGCTATTTATTTGCATACATGTACAACTACATATCTAGCAGGATTTATTCAATTAATTTGGAAAAACTTGACAAAAGCGTATATCTTTTGACGTACTTGCGTATTAAAATAAAGGCTTATTTTAAAATTGTGCTAACGCTTGTGTTAGCGAGTCAGGCGTTTTGGTGCAAACTGTAAGCCTGACTTTTGAATTGAATGGAACAAATAAATAAATAAAACGTATATACGAAAATTTTCTAGGTTACAAGATAAGAGCTTCAAAAACGATGCTTGTCAGTAAACGAACGTTAGAATTTCGCCATTAGTGCGACGAGTGGCGCCTGCTAATTTATTCGCTGATAACCTTCTTGATAACCACCCGATCAACGCGGCCTGCGTGCTGCGTGCTGCGTGCGATCAAGGACTCGTATTTGAGACACTCAAATTGTCTATATCAACCCCAAGCCAAGCATTAGCCAATGTTTTAATACTGGTGGTAGGACCTCTTGTGAGTCCGCGCGGGTAAGTACCACCACCCTGCCTATTTCTGCCGTGAAGCAGTAACGTGTTTCGGTTTGAAGGGTGGGGCAGCCGTTGTAGCTATATTTGAGACCTTAGAACTTATATCTCAAGGCGGGTGGCCCAGTTACGTTGTAAATGTCTATGGGCTCCAGTAACCATTTAACACCAGGTGGGCTGTGAGCTCGTCTACCCATCTATGCAATAAGAAAATTTTAAAAAAGACAATCGAGTCTGCGTGTTCTGCTATAACACCGCGCGGTCCTGTTTAAAGAGTTCGATTATTTAGGCATCTCAGGCTGTTCCAAATTAGACAGATTCACGCCGCAGTGAACTACCAACTTGGACTCGGTATTAAGATTTAATAATATTTTATGCAAATAGTATTTTGTCTAACGTCCACTAGTGTTCAGGGAAAACCTAGCTTGAATATATACCAGACAAATCAGTTCTACGCCCACAATTCTAACACAATCCCCGCAGCCGTCACTGATCGTGACAGTCAGGCTTTGTTTCGTATTGTACTTACACAACCAAATTTGGTATACATATCTACGTATCAGAATTCTAAGCAGCCACATGGACTAGATTGTATCAAATGTAAATCTACCGAATAAGAACACGTTCTAATATTAAGCTCAGATCACAGTGAGTGCTTGGAATGTCACCCGCTCACAATAGACCGGAGCCAGGCTTTGTTCAAATGTCTTTTTTGAATTGCAAAGAATAGTTTTTGTTCTTCATATCCTGTTTTGTATAAATATACACAATACAGTAATAGATTCTGTTATACTAAATCCACACCGCCTGAGAACAAAGCATAATCGGGATTGATGTGAAGACATGGGTACTACAAGCGCACGCGGGTTGATACCATCATCCAGCCCTAAACACGTCATTACGGATCCTCCCGATCCATTAACAGTGCTTTTAGGTACCACAAGCACCGGTCACCGTTCTCATCGAACCTGTCGCTTGCGACGAAGGGTTCGGCGAGCAAACTAACCCATAGACACAACCCACTAAGTTTCTCGCCTGATCTTCTCAGTGGGTCGCGTTCCCATCCGGTGGTAGATTCTGCGAAGCACTGCTCTTGCTAGGGCTAGTGTTAGCAACGCCCTCAGGTTAGAGCCATCTACTCGCCCGGAGAATCTAGTATAACCCCTCGAAGTTACTAGAATAGTAGAATAGGTCGAAGAGAAAAAAAAGATCAGGACGGCACAACCGGTTGCAGTTTGCTCCAACTTCTTGATGT